TTTCTGAAGATCATGTGACACTGAAGACTGGAGTAATGATGCTGAAAATACAGCTGCGCATCACAGAAATAAATTACAGTTTAACAGAGATTCACATAGAAAACAGCTGTTTTAGATTATAATAATATTTCACTATTTTTAATGTCATCCTCACACACCTCTGTCCACTCAGTTTGTTGAAGGTACACGCTAGCGCCACCACCTGTCCAGTGGCTTGACTGATGACAGGAACACAGAGCATCGAGTTCGGCTCGAACCCCAACAAACTGCTCAATAACCCGCGTTCCTCCTGCAGAGACACACACACACACACACACACACACACACACGCGTTATCCGTCATATAGGAACGTCTGTAAACACAAGCAGCACGTCAACATGTGTGTGTTTGACGAGTTTGATCCTGATTAAAGTGAAGGATAGTGACAGTGTCTGTTCCAGCTGAACTCATTCAACACAGATCATCTATCTGTCTGTCTGTGCTGATAATTAGCTGGTTTTGGAGAGCTGTCAGTTGGGAATGAATAAAAAAAGCTTCGTTATTATCCGCAGCTGTCTGTGTGTGTGTGTGTGAACTGACCTGGCTGACGTCCTGCAGTGTAATGGATTTCTTTGTCTCCACCACCTGCCCGAACCGACCGAACATAAGCTGTATAGAGAGAGAGAGATGGTTATTTGCTGCTGAGAAACAATATTTCTCACACACACATACACACAAACACACACACACACACACACACTCACTCTCACACATACACACACACACACACACACACACACTCTCTCTCACACACACACACTAAACACACACACACACACACACACACACTACATTGCATTGCATTCATGGTATATGTTTAATTTGATTCAAACCCATAAGTTGCTGTTTGAGTAACAGAAACACACACACAAATAACAAGAGAAAAGAAAAACTTACTGGAAAACTGATTTCCTCTTCCAAAACTTTATCTCCGACAACCTGCAGAGAAAATACTCTGTGAGAGAGTGTCTGTTTGTGTGTGTGTGTGTCTGTGTGTGTGTGTTTGTGCCTGTGTGTGTCTGTGTGTGTGTGTGTGTGTGAGTGTGTGAGTGAGTGTGAGTGTGTGTGTGTGTGTCAGCGACACGCTGTCTTTACAGTACGGAGGATCTCAGCTGGTGCATCGAGTGAAGACGTACCGTAAGATCGCTCCCTGGACGCAGCACTCCAAAGACATCATGCAGACGCTCTCGCGTTACTATAGCAACGCCTTCTCAGGTAAACACCTGGATGCTGCTTTCATGCTGTGGTACGGCATGGTATTATGTTCAAAGATTCATGGTAACATCATGGTACTCAAGAAACATTTCTGATTATTATCAATGTTGAAACAGCATTTATTTGAAATAGAAATCTACTGTAACATTATAAATGTCTTTACTGACACTTTTGATCAATTTAATGCGTCCTTGATGAATAAAATTCTTTAAGCATCAAAAACTGTGTTCAACATTGATAATAATCAGAAATGTTTCTCGAGCAGCAAATCAGCATATTAGAATGATTTCTGAAGATCATGTGACACTGAAGACTGGAGTAATGATGCTGAAAATACAGCTGCGCATCACAGAAATACATTACAGTTTAACAGATATTCACATAGAAAACAGCTGTTTTACATTCTAATAATATTATACTATTTTTCTGTATTTTTGATCAAATAAATGCAGCCTCTGTGAGCATAAGACACTTAATTCAGAAACAATATAAAAACATATTTATGAGTGTGTCACCTGACAGAAGAGTTGGTGATTGTCTTCAGACACCAGCAGTAAACAGCAGCACTGCGACTGAGTTTCTGTCTGCAGCTGAAAGAGAAACTCACACACATCAGAAACGCACCGCATGCATGTTTGTTAGTCATTCAGACCTGATTACACACCATCATAATAAAAGATGATGAAAAGCTTATAATAACTAGAAATATACAGTATATTGACTATTAAAATACAATTTTCCATGATTTTGTAATGATTTTATTAATTTTATTATTTGTAAAATGATAGTCAGTTATATTCAATTCTTCCCTCTGCTTTAATGCATTTGATTTTCTGTCCATCCGGATGTTGTGGATCACAGAATGACTAAACGACACATGAACACCAGCAAACAAAACCGGCACTGAAACGAAAGTAAACTGCAGGAAGATCATCTGACAGAAAGATGTTAAATCAGACATAAACGCAAACAAATGGAGTGTCATGTCAGGAGCTGGAAGCTGAACGAGCCACAGAGGAACGGAGACGGCTCTTCAGCTCTTTACCTTCTGGAGTGATTTATTTGGAGAGGCGACAGACAACATTCATTTTTCAAACCTGCAATTCGTAAAATGTTTTCCCTTAATTCAGACTGAGCGGCGTAATGTAATCATATCATTTCAGGGATTATTGCATTCTGGAGATGAAATTATGTTTAGCAATAACGCAGAAAGGGGTTACGACTCAAACGTCTGTGTGTGTGTGTGTGTGTGTGTGTGTGTGTGTGTGTGTGTGACAGAGAGAGAGTGTGTGTGTGAGCAGGCACTGACCTGTACAACACACACACACACACACACACACACAAACACACACACACACTTTCATTTCCGTAACAGCGGGTAGCAATAAACATTATGACCTGTAAGTGAACATAAATCAGCTGTCCTGCTCCAAACGGCACGACAAACTCATCTGCATTTGGATTTTAACCTCCCATTGACTTCTGTTGTTTTTATTCAAAGATAATGATAGTTTTTCCCCTAAATGTCACAGAAAGCACCATTACAGCTAACAAAAATATGTTCTGAGAATGTTTTGCTAAGATTCCCATTACGTTATGAAAACGTTATTTCTGAATGTTCTCTGAACATTTTAAATGTGCAGTTTTTAAATGTTTTTTCTTGGTTATGAGTGAATGTTAAGGGAACATTCCATTGTAACATTGTGCAAACATCATGGGAACGTTACATTTGAATGTTCTCTGAACGCTCTGAAACAAGTAGCAACATTTAAAAACCGTCAGACGAACTGAAACATTCTGAGGTGAGAGCACTGCTTCAGCAGAGTGGATCGGTTTGTGTGTTTATGAATGAGGAAATAAAATAAATCATTTATGCATGACAACAAAAGCAGTAAAATAAAATAATGCAATAATGCAAAAAGGGGTCATGGCTCCAGTATTTGTGTACAACGGGTATCGGTCATAACAAAAACAGACAATAAATAAAATAAAAAGTACGTTCTAAGAAAATTTTGCTAACGTTCGCAGTAAGCTAAAAATGAAAATGTTTAAAACATTCGGTTTTAAAACGTTTTTCTTGGCTATACGAACATTAAGGAAACATCTCATTTTAACATTTTGCAAACGTTCCTTTTGAATGTTCTCGGAACATTTAGTAACATTTAAAAAAACATTAGATGAACGTCCAACTGAAACGTTTCAGAAATAAAATGATGTATAAATAACATTTTTGTGTTAACATTTTGAGATAACTTTGCATGAACGTTCCATTAACATTCCTGTAAGAACACTTGTTCATAACTCTCAGAGAATGTTCCTTGTTAGCTGAGATAATCGTACATATTTTAACTGTGCTGTCTTCACATGCTGTCTATGCAGGCAGCTCACTAGGTTTGAGAACGGAGCCGATGTCTGTAAAACAATTAATTCTCAACACAAAGTCTAATGACACCGAAGAGAAGATTATGTGTGTGTTTGACTTGTGCACGAGGTTAATTGTTTTGTGACCTTGTTTGGTTGCGTAGTTGTAATTGAATAAGAGTCTGGAGGGATTGTAGATCAGTGACCTTCATGAGGAGCTGCAGGCGTCTCAATAACACTCTTATCACAATCTCAGCTGTAAATAAAAGCCAGCCGACCTTCCTCATTCATAAACACACAGGACTCGCTGCAATAAACGAGGAAAACAGATCCAAGACTCCAGGAGCAGAAGCGTCAGCTGGGTTCTCTGTTCTCTGTGTGTTATGAGTCTATACTTACATAATTGATGACTTTCAGCTGCAGGGAGGCGGCGTCCAGATCGTACAGCTCACCTGTCAATCACACACAACTCAACACAATTACACTGATCCATCTGACTGTCCAAAACTCATCGCCAGCTGTGGGTGGTTGCTAGGGTGTTGCTAGGTGGCTGTAAGCTCAGTGCTTCCCACACATAGACTTTATCTGGGCGGGCCGCCCAAATATATTTGGTAACACATTTTTGCTTTTCATTTTTTTTATCCTCTTATACTTTTCTATTAAACATTAAAGCTTTAAAGTTTAAAAAGCTTTAAAGTAAAAAACATTAAAGTTTTTAAATATATTTTTATAGTGCAATCATTTCACATTCAATCTTCAAATTAATGTAGAAACAACATAAAGACTTAAATATTTTAATATTTGTTTTTTTTATGACTGAAGGAGAGTATCACTGATACCAATACTACTGATGTCTCTATGAAATAGTTTTTTTCCTAATATTTAACCGTTGACTAGCATTCAACATTACAGTATAATTGAGAGCTGTCAATTTTAACATTTATTAGACTTTAAAATAACTTCTAATTTAAGTGAACTTAAAACAATCTTCACATAAACCCATTATAATAAATGTCATATTTAGCTACCTGTGCCTAAATTAAATATACAGTTATCAAACAGTTATCAACAGATGAATCCTTGAAGCTACAGCAGTTATTGATTTGCTCTTTTTTCTTTTGTTCTTTGATGAACAGCATCACAGCAGCTGTTATCAGGTTATTTTGGCTGCTTGAAGAGCTGCTGCTGCTGAACGTGACGCAGATCTGACACGCTTCGTAGTTTCTCATAACTATTTACCTTTTCTGAACCACTGCATTTCAGTGACATGTTCTTAAATCTGACTCATATAACAAATACTTACATGCACACAGTTTTAAGGCAGCTTTAATCGCCTTTTCGGTAACTTCATGACAACTGACGACATAACTGCGACATTGCATGTTTATAGTTTCATTTGCACTTTAATATGAAATGATACAGGCTACAGCATGCACCGCCGCATTTGTGCGAGCAATTGAAGAACACGTGCTACGAGCACAGTATAATGGCTGACAGGACAGGAGAACTGGTTTTTACTGACATACGGACTGACAGCATCTCATCTGACCACAGTTAAAGGAGTAGTTCACTTCAAGAATTAAAATGTCCTGATAATTTACTCTCCCCATGTCTTCCAAGATGTCCATGTCTTTCTATCTTCAGTCGCAAAGAAATGAAGGTTTTTGAGGAAAACATACCAGGGTTTTTCTCCATATAATGGACTTTAATGGGGACCAACGGGCTGAAGGGCCAAATTGCAGTTTCAGTGCAGCTTCAAAGGGCTCTACACGATCCCAGCCGAGTAATAAGGCTCTTATCTAGTGAAACCATCGCTCATTTTCCAAAAAAAATAAACATTTATATACTTTTTAACCACAAATGCTCGTCTTGCACTAGCTGGACTTCATGCATGACGTAATCACATTGGAAAGGTCTTTTTATTCTGGAAGTGAACTAATCCTTTAAATATTTAATTTTGATCATCATTAAAGTGATTTTTTTTTTCATGGAATTGTAATATTTCAAATGCATGCTAATGGTGTAGTCGAGGACTTTCGTGGTAAATGGATAAAAAGTACTTCATATCCCCCTAAACACAGCATAATCTGTATCAAATCTGTGTCACATGTAGTAGACCATTTTTGTGCCGTGGGTAATAGGAGGATATGTTTCAAACCTGTGGGAAGCACTGCAGCTATAAAGTTAGTCGATGATTCTTGTTCTGAAAGTTACATTATGTCACACAGAATATCAAACTCTTTTATTCCGCAGCTCTTTAATGCTGCAGTACCACAGATGTGTTTTGCGTGTTTCTCACCACACAGCCGTAGGATCTTATGGTCGAGCTCTCTGTAGTCTGTGTGGGGTTTGGGCTTCGCTGGTGCATTGTGGGATTGAGCATGTGGCCGTTTGGAGCATCTCTGAATGTCTCTGACTCGCTTACAGGCCACAGTGAGCTGTTGGGACACACACACACACAGTATAAACAGTGTTACTTGCATTCTGACATTCACAGGTAGTAATGCTTATCCAGAAAGTGTCAGTAAAAGATCTACTTACTTTCATAAATATCTCACATGACTATGAATGTGATATTGTGTTTATACAACAGTTCAACTGCACAAGTGTGTAAATAAATAAGAAACAACCACAGAGTGTCTTAAAAAACGGAACTACTTCCTTCCGCCACAGATTCAAATCTCAGGTTGCCAGTTTAACAGCTCCGTTACTAATTCGAGAATGTTACTTTAGAACTGGTAACAAAGTAACGTTGAGTTACTTCATTGAAAGCTTATTGTATCACTGGATTATGTGGAGTAGAGTATTATCAGAGAAAGATGGACTGAGAGTGTGACCCTCTGCATCTGATAAAGCATTCATTCTTCAGCTCAATCTCATATTCACAATAAAACATGAGTTTGAATGTCTGTGGAGGAAAGCGATATCTTTGTCGTACTGTCCTTTCATCTGTTAAGGGTGATTTCTGATGACAGCGCTGTTCACTGCATTTGTTAACTGCGTCCTACAAGTTGTTGTTTGAAAGTAAAAATAACGTCCTTGTTTACAACAGTGTTTCAGTCTCTTTCAATATAAAAGTCTTTAAAGCTTACTCAATTAAGAAAAATTGTCGCATCTAATGAAGGAATAATGTCACTAAAATCACCACCACGAACACACACAGTTTCCCATTAATAAGTATTATTATTAAACAATATTATTTATATGAAATATTTTTATTGAATAATAATATTTAATAAACAGCAACAGCCATCATAAAAGTTGCTAGGCAATTCAGTCAAAAGTACAAAGGCAGCGCTCTGATATACAGCATTAAAGTTACATGAAATATAACGTGATGAGATTTTGCTCTTAGCCAAAACTATTTGCTCTGGAACAAATAATAGATTAATAATAAGACCAAAGATTGCCCGTTAGTTTTACCCAGAACAAATTATATCTCATGTTTAACCACTATACAGACATCAGAGCCAGTGGGAAATTGCAGAAGATCTGGCCGAGGTGAGGCTGCTCTCGGCGGGTTCATGAGCGCTGAACGGCCGCTGACGCCCTGGAGCTCACATCTCCCAAAACATCGAGACACATTTTCAAATAGACGTTATCTTTATTAACAAACCACATATTTGAAGTCTATCTGAAGTCCTAAAAAACTCCTAAAACTACATTCCGTGACACAAAAACAGTATTATAAAATTATAGTGGATTTGTGCGTCTGCCATGACACTTGCTGTGAGAAATACGGCAAGCGCAGTGATACTAGTGATACTAGAGACGGTTCCCGTGACGATATTGGGTGAACAGACCTCTCAGCCAATCAGATTCGAGGTACTTTTTTTTTTCATAAAATCTTTTCTTCATGACAGATTTTCGGTGACCGAGAGAGCTCAACGCGCTGCAAATGAAAAAAACACATGAAAATAGAAAAAAACAACTGCAAATTAAGAAAACATCTTCATCAATTTGACAACAAACGCACTGCAAATTCTTACAGCACAACCAAATACAGAAACGGGCAAGAATACAGAAACGGGCAAGAATACAGATCACAACAAGCAGGATTCTACATTTTACATGTGCCAACTGTTGTGTTGTGAGAATTTGCAGCGTGTGTGTTGTCAAATTGATGAAGATGTTTTCTTAATTTGCTGGTGTTTTTTCTATTTGCATGTGAAGATGTTTTCTTAATTATGTGTTTTTTCTTTTTCAGAGTGTAGATCTCTTTTGGCCACCGTACAGATTTTTTTCAAACATACATATATAATTAACAGTAATTATGTTCCCTCTAGCCTTTTTATAGATAACTAACGAACTGTGAACACTGGAAGACTTTCCTGAGGTAATTGTGACATTGACCACAAGCTGTTTTATTGACCTCTTTCTTTCGGTTGAAACGCTGATTGAGCGATTATATGAGACGTGATACATCTCTGTCAGTTGTACTGTATTTTTAAACATACCTTCTTAAGTTCATTCATGTTTATTTCGTGTTATAACTGGTGTTAATGTGGAAGAGACTGAACAAAAGTGCTACAGCGATCTGTCACGCCACATTTAAGAGCGTCAAAACGGCATGTATTGTTTGAATTCTGCGATAAAACTGACATTATTTGAGAGCTGAGAATTTGTTTCCTATGAGAAGTAACAAAGCACAATTGTAATTACCAAATGGGAGGCGCGCTACAAATAATGTTAAAAGAAGTGATGGAAACCGCGGATCTGGCAACCCTGACTTGAACAATGGGTGGGGTCAAATAGAACCCGCGTTAACTGTGATTTTTTTTTTTTTGTAATTGCATTGCGTTAATGCGTAATTATCGTGTTAATATTTTTAAAAATATTTTCAAAATATATATTTTTTAAATAATTATAAACCCAATGATGCATCACAAAAACTGCTGATTAACATTCATATTAATCAGTATTGTGCTCAGGCTGTCGCCAGCTGAAAAGGACAGTCGTTTCAGAGCTTGAGCAGCTTGAATACAATGAATACAAACATGTATTTTCCTCAATTTTAAACTCGTATTGACTTTAACCTTCACCTTAAGGCACAAACTGAAATACATTTGCTCTTCATATCTCGAGTACTTTGATCTATAAAGACAGAAGTGGAATCACGATCCCTTTTTCTGATCTTCATTTTTTTTTTTTCAAAATCTTTTTGATTTTCATCAAAAGCCAAATAACTCTGTCCGTTTCTAAATGGCCTTCAGATTCACTGCCTGTTCAGATCTGTTTTATTTTCTCTCTCTGTCATGTTCGTGATATTTTCTTACCGGCACACACACTCTTTAGTGAACACTACAAGGGCAAACGCAGCTAATGGAGGACGACAGCCTTTCATTTCTCTGCTTCTGTTTTTCCGGCTCACAGAAACACATCAGATGTTTAATTAAGAGAAGGACACTGCAGCACAGTTAAATGATACGACATGAGAGTGTATATGACCACATCTAAAGAGTGTTAGACAGTGACTACATTCACATCAGAGCGGTTACTATATTGTGTTTTAATGCCACTGGATTGACCAACCAGAGGACAGGATCATGAATTTACATTATACAATACAGCACAACGGAATATTATATTAGAAACACACTGAACGTCTATTCAGCACGTGACTGTACTGAAATCTATTGTTTCTGCTTATAAATCTTTCTTTTTGCTTTCACTATTTGTTTGCTCTCATCGTAAGATGCTTTTAAAGCATCTGATGTAAAATAATAAAAAATCTAAAAATGGATTTTATATATATACAGCGACTTAAGACTGCTTTTGTGCTGCAGGGCCACAGATGTATATAATTAATGAACAAATAAATAAATAAATATTTCAGTAGGAAGCAAAGCTTATTTTAGGAAAATAAAACAAAATAAAAAATACAAACAAATATTGAAATACATTGTTTCTGCTTATAAATCTCTGATGCTTCTTCTTGCTTTCACTTGCTATTTGTTTAGATGCTTTTAACATGTCTGATTTAAAATAAAAAAAAATTACAAATTAACAAAAAATAAATAAATAAAAGTATTTTAGAGTAATAATGATAACTGTGGTGCTATGGTGAATTTATGTAAGGGAGAAAGTGAATCTTGTTTTTTGGGAGGAAAATAAATAAATAAAAACAATAACAATAAATAAATAAGTTGCAGTTGGAACAATAATGGCAAATCTGTAATGGAGAGAGAGCTAATCTTATTCTTGGAGAAAGAATAAAAAAAATAATTTTAATTATTGTCAAATAATTCTGTAAGATAGAGAGAGCTAATGTCATTTTAGGGAACAAATAATAAAAAATAAATAATTGAAAATATACTGAAATCTATTGTTTCTGCTTATAAATCTCTGATGTTTCTTTCTCTTTGCTTTCATTGGTTATTTGTTTGCGCTCTTGTTTTTGCTCTCGTCGTGAGATGCTTTTAAAGCGTCTGATGTTAAATTGCTTCTCTAATCAACCGAATCAAAGCTCTGTGGAGTGTGTGTGTGTGTGTGTGTTCTGCTGCTGCTGATGATGATGATGGTGGTATGATGAAAGCTTTTGGACCCTTATCACCTCAAATAAAACCTGAGGGACGGAGGCGGTTTGGCTCTTGACTCACCGAGATAAACATGAGGATGAAAGAGCCCTTTCTGAAATATACCAGAGTTTCTGCACAAATACTGCAGTAAGAAGACCTATTTAAAGCTTTGAATTGAAATGATATTTTCTTATGGATCTATTCACACAGGGGATGAAGATCTGTTTGTGCTACATTTATTTATTTATTTCCTTTATTCTTGGTTTCATCTCTGCTCTGCTTTGATTCTCTGGGCTGGGTTTCCCAATAACGATGGATCTTAGCTCTTAAAGGGTTAGTTCACCCAAAAATGAAAATTAGCCCATAAATTACTCACCCTCAAGTCATCCTAGGTGTATATGACTTTCTTCTTTCAGACGAATCCAGTCGGAGTTATATTAAAAACTGTCTTTGATCTTTCAAGCTGTTTAATGCCACTCAGCGGGCGTTGCAGTGCATCAGTCCAAAAGCAGTTAAATAAAATGCATAAAAAAAACATCCATAAAAAAAGTGTCTCACACGGCTCCGGAGGGTGAACAAAGGCCTTCTGTAGTGAATTTATGCGTTTTTGTAAGACAAATGTCCATATTCAAAGCATAATAATCACTTTAATGTAGCTTGCGCTCACTGTTGTACACTGGAAGCAGTGACGTATGAGTCCAGTGTTGCGCACTGAATATGGATATTTTTCTTACAAAAACGCATCGATTCGCTACAGAAGGCCTTTGTTCACCCCCCGCAGCTGTGTGAGGCACTTTTTTTTATGGATGGGCGCTTTTTATTTCACTTCTTTTGGACTGATGCATGCAACACCCGCTGAGTGGCATTAAACAGCTTGAAAGATCAAAGACCATTTTTTATATAACTCCGACTGGATTCGTCTGAAAGAAGAAAGTCATATACACCTAGGATGACTTGAGGGTGAGTAATTTATTGACAAATTTTCATTTTTGGGTGAACTAACCCTTTAAGAGCGCTCTCTACGCGCGAGGTTACGAACGCTCGCCACAATTCCATGTGCGTTTCCCAAATATGCCTTTAACACGAACACGCTCTTCGCTGTCCGTTTGTCAAGTGCTGAAATATTACCTTACCTTACCACCTGATGTGGATTAGAAGAAAAAAAACTTTCTAAAAGATGAAATTAATGTTCTTCTGGAGGAGGTGGAGCGAAACAAAAATGTCATTTTCAGCAGATTAAAAGGACAACATACAAATAATGAAAAATAAAACATATGGGAGGATGAGGCTTGCAAGGCCCTCCATTTCTGTGCCATTTCTCTTGCCAGATCAGTCAGATAATATGATTGTTTTATGGTGATTCGTTACGTTTCTATCATTTCTTGTGCAATGTGAAATGCTTTCTATATGTAGTTATTTCTCATCCTATTGTGCAATGTCTTTTGCAGGTCGTGGGTGTCACAGATCGGCCAGACTCAACCACCTCCCAATCACAGCGAACACCTTCACCTGAGTACTGATCACACGCACCTGTCACAAATCTGCAATCATCAGCTCCCCTTCAAAAGCACACACCTCACTTTACTCCAGTGTCCGGTCTCGTTTCAATGAAGTGGACTCTCTCTCTATGCTATTCGTGAGATACATTGAAAGACTTACCTGCCTGTTATACTTACCTGCTGTGTTTTCTCCAGTGTGTTCTCCTGTGTTCCATTCCCTAGTCCGTTCCAGTCATCAGCTCCGTGAAAACTCCGTGTACTCTTCAACTGAGGTGTGTGCAGTCCTCTGTCTCCCTTCCA